AGTAACAGAAGTGCTATAGAAGTGTGTCTGAGTCAGCAATGTCAGACTTCTGGAGCCGAATGATTAACTTGAACAATTATAGTTTTTGAAATGATAGCAGCAATTACTCAAAATATCGACATTTCCTACCAGACAAGCCTGATTGATGACTGTACTGTTTCAATTAAATTTTCTCACAGTTTTCGGATTCACTATGATTCTAGACTTCTCTGACATGTGGCGTAGAGGCGTAGATAATGCACTTTCGAAAAATATATGATAATAGCAGCTCATCTCTACGATCGGCGCCGATATTGGCTAACAGATGGCGAGTACGTGGAGTGGATAGGATAGTGCAAAGAGCAGTCTGCGTAAAGCTAGTACGAGTGCTTTGATTAAAGTCTCGTACAAACGCTAAACAGCATCTGTAAAGTCAAAAACACAAGATTATCTCTATGTAGAATTAGTAATATAGTTTTGTAGTAATCAACTTCCACATCCCTCCTAAAACTGTATAGATGATCCTCAATGCGTAGTGCGGTAGCTGAAAGTACACCTTTGATGTGCACTGACTTTCCTGAAGTTTCCCTCTAACGTTCAGTTCATATTTATAAGGCTAGTTAACGCTTTCTAAATGCTTTCGACACATTAGCTACATGGCAGCGGTGAATCACGTTTGCAGAATCTGTGAGGCGTCATCAGATGTATTGTACAAACATGCATAGTGGGTTAAATAACAGACGAAACAATACCTAAGCCTTCAAAAAACGTTGTTTCTCTGAAAATTTCAACTCGTTATGACTTTTTTCCTTTTCGTACAGGGAGCACTTACATCATCTTGTATCTACAATGCACCCAAGGAGTACTACTTGATACTTACGTTCAGTACTTGAAGATGATGAAACTGCCGTAGTCACTGGCTGACTCATCTGCCGTCTCTCATCATCCCACGATATCGCCTCCGCTGCACTCGAATGTTGTCCAAACCGTCTTTACCGCGAACAGTAGACGATGCACAACGATCGATTTCTGTCAATATGGCGACAGTTTTAGCAAATTGTGAACGGGTTGATTCTGATTTAATTACCTGATGACTGTTCAAGCCTGAAAATACAGAGGTTTTCGAGAACAGCCTCAGAAGATAGATTCGGGAATGATTTTGGAATTTTAGAAGCTGCAGCTTCTTTATAGTTTTCTTACCGAATCTTAGTATAATGGACTCGTTTAAAGTATTCAAATGGAAGTATACACAGTATTTGTTCAAATAACAGTTTCCTCCCGAATTATACCATAACGATCTATTGGGTTCCTCATTTTTAGCAATACGACAATTTTACCATTGGCATAAAATTTCCATGGATTTAACCCGTCATAACGCTGCATTCCCTCTCTTTTCTTCTCACAACGAACCTGTTGAGATACTTGGTTTCTCAAGTTTTAATAGGGAGGGACAGCATGCGCTTGGGAGCCTATCGGCTTGCTCACAAGCAACGAGTTTGAGATATCTTCATTGAATGAGAGGCAATAATTTGCCTTCAAGTTCCCTTGCAGCCCGCTTGAAGTTGAACAATTTCCATTATTTTATGGATTACTCTTCCAAGTTTTTCTTCGAATTTTCGACTAACTGATTTACGAATACTGGTCACATCTTATTTCCAATCACCGAATGAGTTGTTTATTTTGCTGCATCTCTTTTTTAATTTTTCTCTTACTCTCTCTTTTTACCTCCAATGTTGTAACCACTCCTGTGAATAAAACGTTGTTAGAAGGAATATTTGTTTTTGGGGAATGCACACAAAATATAAAGTCATTTAGTGGATTGTTCTCACATTTCAAAATAATAAGTCCAAGACTCTATATGTCTTTACTGTGAAATGGATAGCAAAATTTGCAATATCGCGTAGTAAAATCATTTTTCACCTAATTTCCTTGACTTTAGTTCTCAGTAAGATCTCTTTGTAGATAGTCTTTATTGAGTCTGAAGGGAACATCTCGACGCCCACACCTTCTTCACCAACCCGAAGAACCATCACTACGCGAAAGAAGCGCGCGGAAGCGATGTCGTGGAGGACGATAAATGAGAAGATATTTTCACATCGTGATTGAGCCTCATCAGCCTCCAGTTTGGGGCATTGAATCATTTGGATGCATGGACATCTCTGTTCCAACGGAAAGTAGGAAATAAAGAGCTAATTTTGCATAAATCATAGCACCTGTGCTTATGAATCGGTCTTCTCCATTGAAAAGTCATGATCTCTTTCTTACTCGCTGGATCTTTGCAAACAAATTGTCATGAGGTTCAGACTACGCAAAGTGCATTCTAATCGAAGATTTAAGATTGAAGCACAGACACATTATGAAAGAGTGTGTCTGATCTTTCTTAATTAACGTAGCTGTTCTCTCAGTCAAGCCCAACCGCCCGCAATCCAAACATCCTGGTAGGCGCCGCCTCTTTTCTTTGGCTCTGGATAAATAGCCGTTTAGTAGAGCTGTCGGCTCAGTGAGGTACCTACTCGTGCCAGTACGCTTTCGACAGTTACTATGGAGCAGCATTATCACCGTCCAAGACCTTCAGGCATGGCCGGTAAGTAATGACTAGTCTTTTTCGCTCATATCAGTTATGCCTATTCACACATGATTTTTTGTTCTTTTTTCGAATAATCTTAGTCTACGTTTCTCGATCTACGAAGTTTATGGTTTTCATTGGTCACATAGCGCCAACGTCTCAGAATTTTTCAAAGAAAAAAACGCTATTTACAGAAGATTCTGCTAATTTAGTTTCATGCTACTGTAATTACCTATGAATCGCATTCAAACTACTACGCGTACTAATTTTATGTATGCTACGAAATAAGATATTTGCCTCTTCCATGCGAATTACTTCATTTTTTGAATCTTCTACCTTCTTTTCTAATATCGCCAAATCAAATAAATATATTCAGTTTAATGATGAGTCATTCTTGTGAATGATGGATTTTTTCTTTCCCTATCATATTGTTCCCCTAGGAAAAACTACTCGAAATCTCTAAATCACAATTTTTGGCTTATTTTGCGCTGTTTGAAGTGTGTGACTTGCAACATCTGAAATGAGTCTTTACGGCGGAGGCTGGTAATATGAAACACACCTGTGGTAGATCAAGTATCCTTGCTGACCGTATGTCATGTTTTCAATTAGCGTATTTACACCAATGGTTTGAAAGAGGAGGGCAGCTGTAATCAGTTTTTGGAATTCAAATTATGGGCAAACAAGTAGATTAGATAAGTCTAATCTTCATTTATGAAAGTTCGTATATCTGTACATGGGGGTTTGAAAGCTGTGTAAGACGTCTGTCGGGGCAAAAGAAAAACGATTTCATTAGAATGAGGCATTAACGCTTTGTGATCTTACTTCCCGACTAATTGCGCGTAGTCGAGATTCAAGATTCTCACTATGTCATGAAATATGCAGGGTCCAATAGGTGCCAATCTTGACTTTTTTCTTCCTATTTTGAGCTTCTCTTTTATGTCGTATGGCTGACATATTTTTCTGATCGCTTATGGAATCTTTAGCTGATTGAAATGTATTCTTTGAAACTCTATAGTTAACCTAGATGATAGTTCATGCTTTATGAAATGTAAAAAGGAGTCTTTTGGGAAGGTCAGAGGTTAAAAAGTAAGGTTTGAGCTACTTTATGGGATTTACATTTCTTTTCCAGTGCTCGGTGTCATAATAATTTGGATAGCAAGGCACTTACAGTTGAGAACTTAGACCAAAATTATTCAGGTGCATGTCTAGGAGACTGCTCGAAGATTTTCAATGAGCAGTGGCGGTCTAGAAAAGAATATACAATATATCTTCTTCTTGAAAGCAGAAACGAATTAAAATACTGCAGCATTCGAACAACAATTGAATGACGTGAATATAATAAATTCAATGCCTATGATTGTGATAGAGAGCCTAGAGATTTACTGTAATTTAGCTCACTGTCAGCGTCTTGAATCAACGTAAAAATTTCTAAATTGTAGAACGGCGATACGCTCATTACTAGCTCTCAGTACACTTTCGGTAAGGTTTGTAGCTATTCATAAGAAGATATAGAAGCGGTAGAATTGCTGCTTTTAATGTACTGGTTTAACGTCTATAGCTAAAAATTTAGGCATTTTGGAAGGATTTAATGACCAGAAGTTTTTTTTTGTTTTTCTACAATTGAAGTCTATAGCTTAACGAAACAGTTACCTGTCGTCTGCCGACCTCTATAGCTATTTGACTATAACCTATGTAATTTTCCGCGTTATCTTATACGAGGCTGCTTAGTATTGAATAGTCCTCAACAAAAATATATAGGTCTTGCATTTTTTGATGATACGTAGTCACTTCTTATAATGAA